CACCTATATCCTGTACGGTGACAAGATGTCATCTCAAGACACATCGTTGTCCAAGTCATTCCGGAAGACGTCTACGTCTAATGATCCTGTCCAAGATGCTGTTGCTGGATCCTGTAGCACAGAATAATGCACAAGGCCGGAGACCACATGGTTTCATTTGTCTTCATGTCGATGACTTGTTCATGGCCGGAGACAAGGTCTTTGCAGATAAAGTGCTTGCCAGCATTCGTAAGGACTTTAACGTAGGCTCGGAAGACAAGAATGACATCATGTTTGTTGGTCAACGCATCAAGTGGAAGACTCATGATAAGCAAGGACCTTACATCTCTTGTGACCAAAAGCTTGCAGTAGATGCTGTAGAGGAAATCAAGTTTGATAAACATCTAAAGGACAACATTGCTTGTAATCCTCAGATGCATACAGCATATCGTTCTGTTTTAGGCCAGCTTAATTGGCTACAGAGTCGAACGCAGGTTCACCTGTGTTACAAGTTCTCCAGATGTGCGTCCGCCGCTTCGAGTCCGACCATTGGTGACGTTCGTGAGATCAACAAGGTTGTTCGTACGATGAAGAGCCAATATGTAGATGCTCGATTCTGGCCTCTCAAGGGCAGCCAACGCATCCTTGGCTTTCCTGATGCATCGTACCGAAACAACAGTGACAAGTCCAGTCAACGTGCACATGTCATCTATTTAGCTGAAGAAAGACAGCCATATAACTCTCGATATACCGAGAAGAAAGATAGCTCAGCCACACGTGGAACTATCATAGACTATGAGAGTCATAAGATTACTACTACTACTCAGTCCACCACTGTTGCTGAACTTCAAGCCTTGATGAGGTGTTTTGGCACATGTCTTTTTCTTCGTGCGCTGTGGGCTGATGTCAGTGGCCAGATTCTTCCTATCCACCTGCGAACAGACGCAAACAACCTGGTCACCACTGCACAGCAAAAGGAAACACATCACCTCGTCCAGATGCTCAGACACGAGAGCAACACTGGCAACATCGATGACTTGAGTCACGTCGCAAGTGAATTCTGTTTCGCTGATCCTTTAACAAAACACACCGCTAAACCGGACGAACTTGTAAGAAGCATAGAGACAGGAACACTCCGTCAGGTTGATGTACACCCACCTTTCCGTACACTTGTGAAACACAAGGCTTTTATAACTGAGTGGGTCATTAATAACCTGCCGGATCCACAGTTTGTTCTCACATTCTTTGCTGAAGACATACCAGACTGTGTGTATTCACTCATGTATACCTCATGACATTTTTCTTGTGAATTTTTGTCTCAAGAAAATTTGTGTCTGCGACTGCATTTTCTGGTTCAAGCGCACTACTACGGACGAAGACAAGCTTGAGCATATTTAGTCTCTTTGATCATCATGGGCCGCAAAGTTCCAGCACCTGCTGCCGAGACTCCAGTTGCACCTTCTCAGGCACAGGCAGCCAAGTCCAGGCCTCGATCAGCGAGCCAGCCCTCCACTGCGCGACCGGTATTACGGTCCAGACGCAGTGTGAGTCTTTCGCGTCAGAGCGATTCGCCGACTGAGGCGGCACCATCCGCACCTCGCTTCATTGATGTCGTTCGCGCATCTTTGTCGCCTGATGCATCCCGTAAGGGCAGCGGCCGACATTCCGGCCAGGATAAATCGAAAGGCAAATCAAAAGGCAAGCGCTCGCCATCTCGTGAAGAGCGCGCGCCAGCGGTCGAATTAACACCGCGTGAGAGCATTAAACCGAGCCAGACTTCCGAACGCCGACATTCCGGCGGGAAGGGTAAGCGACCAGAGTCCCGCGACGCCGAACGCCGACATTCCGGCGGAAACGGCAAGGGCAAGAGTAAGGACAATTCCCGTGATGCCGGTCCTCGCCCCAGCGCCATGGACTCTGCGTTCGAACGGCCAGAGTACGGCGTCAGCTCAGCCTTCGTCTACTGCTTGTGGATGATTTGGTCCGGATTTTTCAAGTTCAGCGAAGAGGCCTTAAACCGGATCTATGAGAGCGAGCTCTACGATAAGATTTCCCGCGAGTTGAGCTCCTCCGACATTCCGGATGGACCCATGCCGATCAGTCGCTCTCAATTTTTGAGCTGATGGCCGGGGCTCGTTTTAGGAAGATGCTCAGCGTTTGGGCTCACACCTGCCATGCCAAGGAAGACTCTGCCTTCCCGGCTGTGCAAAAGGCTCAGATTCAGCCATGGTGTGAAGCATCTGCCGAGCGCATTAACCTGCTGCTACCGCTTGCCATCACTATTATGTATAATCAGAAAGGCAGGTACCAGGTTGGCATTCTGAGCACTTCCGATCATCAGAAGGGTGAGAAGTTTGTTAATAACCCTTCTCAGTGGATCCACCCAGCCGGTATGACGGCTGAGGATCGCAAGGAGCTGGCCCAATTATATAAGCAGTACAGGGCAGCTCATGTTTTTGTGCAAGCCGTTTCCAGCCATTCGGGAGGCGCCGCAACTCCATTAACCGGCCTTAAGATCCCGAAGTGCCAGCTCTCCGATATGCCGGACACGCTGGTTCACATGACGGAGTATCGCCGCGTCCGCTCGATTAAGCAGTACGGTCTCCTTCCCGGAGGCGTCAGTACAGCCGGCAACAAGCAGCGTAACATGAACCACTTCCTGCCGATCGACGGACTTTTGGTCTCCTATGAACACATTCGACCAACGGCCAATGTGATACTCGTCTTGTCTAAGGCTACGCTGGAAAAGCATCCAGAGCTCATGGAAGATTTTTGCCTGAGCAAGAATGGATACTTTTTGACCAAGGCCGTTATTCCGGCCGGTCTTTTCAGCCTTGCATGGGACATCCGGAACAATTGCTGTGTGTCAACTAAGCTGTGGGATGTCCCGGACTCCACTCCAGCCATGTCAGTCCCCGATGAGCCGTACTTGCGTTTTTATTCTCAGCTCTATTGTGAGGTACTGAGGCTGGTAGGCAAAGGCCACGATAAGTTCAAGGCTGAAACCAGGCGGCTTGCGTTTAAGAATATTAAGATCCGCGAGGTCGAGGCATGGCGTGAGGAGGCCGAGGAGAAACTTGACCGCCATCAGCTCCACGGCATGTCCAAGATCCACACTGAGACATGGCTGAATTTTCTCTCCCTCGACGACGACTGGAAGGATGAAGCCACTAACATGCGTCGTCTTAAGAAGCGCTCGTTGTCGGAAACGACCGAGGAAGAGGGAGATGACCTGATTGATCTAGAATCTAGACGATGATGACGACATGGAGGTCGATGCCGACATTCCGGCAGACGACGACGATGAAGTTCAGGTCATAAGTTATTTAGACGCAGCCATGGTGGACGACCTCGCGGAAGCATGCCAAAAAGGCACCTGGGTCAAGAAAGGCACTGTGAAGAAGGAAGAGTCCGATATGCCGGACGATCCTTCAGCAGCGGCCTCATCGTCTGCAGCAGTCAAGAAAGAAGAGAAGCAGAGCACAAGGGTCTGGTCCTCCCGTGCACGGTCACGAACCCCGTCTCGTACTGTCCTTAAGAAGGCTGACCATGCGGCCGGGAGCCGCCCGCACTCCATCCGAGGGTCGCAGGGTTTCGTTTTCCGATATTCCGGAAACGAAGTACATCGAAGCAACATCCAAGAAGCGTGCGACATCGCGGGCGCGGGAGGTCATCAGCGATGCAAGGAAAGCACAGAAAGCACCAACTAAATTCCATCATCGCCCAGATGAGATGACCTGTTTGACCTGTGCAAATGCTGAAGTACTCTTCTTCTGCAGAGCATGTCGACATGGAACATGCCTTGACTCCTACCACGATGCTAGTAACCATTGTTCCTGCAACAGCATTTATCTCTGTTCGACCGTCCCAGACGCTGATATGCCGGCGCCGCTGGGTGAGCACGAGCGCGAAGAGATCACTGCAGAAATTGATTTCACGATTCCCTTCGCAGCCGAGTCCGAGGGTTGGCATCCTGACGACCGTCACGTCGGTCGATTGCACCGTTTGCAAGAAATCAAAGATCTTGTTCTCGGTGGCGGCTCAACAGGTTATGCCGCGATGGATCGAATTGTACTCGAAGGAGTCAGCAAATACCATTACACGAACCATCCAACCTACAGGAGCCGTTCCATTCCCTCGATTGCTCAACATTGGGACGAACAGTCTGATGTGGCACCATACCCAATCATTCGGCCAAGTCCACTGAGCAGTCCTGCTTCTCAACTTCGGCGATATCAATCGTACACCTCATTTCAACGGCAGGCAGCCGCTATCCAGGGATCTCGCCGAGACCGATCAATATGCTGTGCTTCCTCATTACCTTGTCAGGAACACAGCCCATATCACAATCCTTCTTGAAGCCAACGGCATCGAGCGTCATCGAGAGCTCTTTAATGTTGGATCACGATTAGTAAAGGGTGCCTCTATAATGCAAATTTTTCCAAAATTATTCAGACCCCCCTGTTTGAAAAATGGTACCTCTATAATGCTAAAAAAATTTAGGCCCTAAATTTTTATAGTGGAAACCCAATAAATCAGGGATTGAATTCCTTCTGAACCCTGTCCACCTGCACTCCCCCCTCCCTTCCCAGGCAAGCAGCCAGCAGCAAAGCAAAACACAAACAAACAGACCACAAACAAGATGTTAACTAACTAATTACAACCCCAGTCCTTGGCTGAGGAAGGCCTGCTTCTTGGCCTGAGCTGCTTCCTTGCGCAGGTGGTGTCTGAGGCACTTGTAGGGGTCACAGGCCAAGCAACCAGACTGCCACCTGCACTTAGCACACCTGCCCAGTGCAGCCTCTAAGGCTAAGACAGACTTAGTAGCAGACTCAGACAAATTCTTCCATGTGAAGGTGACTGAGTTCTTATCCACCAGCTCCTGAGCAGCCAAGTAGGCTGCAGAGGTGATATTCTTGAGGGTCTTGAGCTTGCTCTGAGCCTTGTCCAGGGTCTCTTTCACCTGAGCTTGCTGCTTGGAGAGCTTGTTTTGCTCTTGCTTTACTGCCTCAGTCAAAGCCTCAGCCTCTGAGGCTAGCTTGCCACAAGCTTTGTTGAGCCTTTCCTTCCATGCTTTCCAACCTGCCTCAGGCCAAACTGACAGCCATTCACCCCTCAAGGTTCTGAGCTCACTCTCCATGTAGTGGAGCACATAGCAGCCACAGGCATTGGAGCCAATGGGCTGCTTGGCCACATTCTTGAGAGGTGGCAGCTCAAACTGAGGATCCAGCAGCTTCCCCATTCTCAGCTGGACAGGGTGGGACTCAGCATGTTCTTGGCTGAGGCTGTCATACCTTGTCCATGCTATGGGGTGCTGAGGGCCTTCGCGCTTAGCCACCAGCAGGGTCCAGTGGAAGGATGCATAGATGGGAACTAAGAGAACCTTGGTGGACTCAAGCCAGCAGCTCTGAACACCAGCCTCTAAGGCTGCTAGCTGATAGGGGTCATCCTGATCATTCAGCAGCTTGCTGAGGATGGGATCAACACAGTTGATCCCCAACTCCTCACAGCTTGGCAAGTTGCTCTTGCTCAGCATCCACCTCAGCAGAACCCAGCCCAACCACAGGTGCTGGTCTTCAACCTCAGCAACATCCTGAGGGCATGGGAGGACTGTGTGGTAGGACCATTCATCAAACTGCAGGGAGCTCTGATCCTCAGGGTTGCTGCTGAGCTGAGTCAAGATGAGCTTGGTGTCCTTTTTGCTGAGCTGGCTCCACTTGGGCCACTGGACTGGCTTGACAGCAGGCTTGCTGTCCTTGGGTTCCAGCCACTCAGGCATCACCTGGTATGCACCAGTGTCACTCAGCAAGGTGTAGGCTCCTGAGGAAGAAGAGAAGGACATGAGGTTGCCAACCTTGCCAAAACTGGTCTTGCCAGCTGCCTCTGAGATCACCACAACATCAGTGTGAAGAAGGCTATCTTCCTCGCTGGCTGGAGGGCCTTCTGCTGGGGGTGGCAGGGGTGGTGCCTCCTCAGCAGCAATCTTCTCAGCTGCGCGCAGCTCCTTGTCAGCTTTGGCCTTGAGAGCAATCTTCTTCTCTGCCTTTGCAACAGCTGAGGGCTTGGAGTGCAGGCTTGGCTTAGTCTTGGCACTTGCTTTCATCTTCAGTGCTGCCTTCAAGACCAGGGAAGGTTTCTGAGCCTTCTTCTTCTTCTGCTGAGCTTCAGGCTTGATCTCTGCTAAGGCTTCTCTTCTGGACTGGGACTGAACCTTCAGAGCCAAACCCTTTACCAACTTGCTCCTGTGAGCTTTCCTCAGCTTAGCCCTACCTGCCCTGTGCTTGGGGTTCTTCTTTTCTGAGAGCTTCGCTTCTTTGTACTGCTTGGTGCCCAATCTCCTGAGGCCAGCTCGCCTCAATGCAGGACTCAGCCTCAATGACAAGGAGTTTTGGAGCTCCAGCTCCAAATCCTCATTGAGGGCATCTGTGATCTGAAGCTCTCCTGTCTCATCTTCATCTTCAGGGTGAAAATAGTCCCATACCTGAAGGTCTGTGATGCTCTTAGCCACCTCGCTCAAATTCCAGTCAGCATCTACTTGCACACCTTCACTGTTGAGCCATTTGAGTCTGTCACTGAGGTACTCAGGCTTGTACCTCTTAGTGCCCATCTCAAGCTTCAACTCCTGGGCCCATTTCTGAGACAGCAGCTCCTCCAGCTTTCCTGTCTGAGGGTTTGGCCTGTAAACCAACAACCCATTCCTGACAGCAGCCCTTAGGACCACTGGTCTCTGAGATTCTTGTCACTGAGGAATTCCTGGGCATGAACCACTGCTGTGACAATCTCCTTTGGGCCAACCTTCCAAACTGAGTGGGAATCTCTGATCTGAGTCTGCCACTCAGATCTCATCTCAGTCAGCTTGCTCCTGACCAGGGCCTTGAACTGCTTGGAAAAGTCTGTGTCAGTGATCTGGAGCTTGGAAGTGCATTTCTCAGCTACAAGGCAGCTTAGCTGGTTGGCCAAAGCCATGGCTTCAGCAGCTGAGTCAGTGAACACTGAGCTGAAGCAGTCTCTCATCCACATTGAGCATGGGTACTGCTCAGCCTGAGCTTGGATAGACCAAGTGAGGATCACTGAGTCCACTCTTCCTCAGTTTCCTGTAGGGCTCCAGGATCCTTCCAACTGAGGTTCCTTGCTTCCTGACAACAGTCTTGTCTCCAACCTGGAAGCTCTCAGTCTTCAGCCAAGTGCCACCCTCTGAGATGTTGCTGAGCCTGGCCCACTGGCCAGGCACAACCAGCAGGCCCTTGCACACTGATCCAACAATCTCATCCTGAGAATGCACTGAATGAAGCAATTGCCTTGCTTCATAGGTGATGCGAAAGCGCTCATCACCTGACACCCCAATGATGGTGGTGGCTGAGGCCTGAGGGAGAGGTGTTGGTTTCTGGGCTCCTTGCTGGGCTGAGCTCACCTCCTTGTCAGGGAT